ACTACAATATGCTCAGAAATGTCTACAGTGTGGAATTCAGAATGGATGAGCTAGGCAAGCAGATCCCTGGCAATAACAGAAGTCTGTTCCATATGCCTTAAGAAACTATATGATTGTTTCTGCTCAGTCCAGTGTTCTGTTTTTCCCCTATGCTCTCTCCCTTGAAAACTTAAGAGCATATACCAGGGGCATCCATAAAGGGCAAGTGATGACATGAGAGATACCATGGCTTATACCAGACACCTATGGTACACATCAGAATATGGACTGAAGAATACCAATACTAGAGTTCTCTTTGTTTTTCCCAAAGACCATCTCCTACATTCCCCCTTCACAGAGTAAGTCCACAAGACCATTTCATCTCATCAGTATTGAATGTTTCTTATACATCCTGCTACACAATGACAACAGTGCATTATCACACCAGGAAATCTGTCAGTTGTCAAGCTTTCTACTTAATAAGAGCTGCTTTGTAACAAATACTTAGAACACAGAACTGACAGAGAAAGTCACAGGGAAGTACTTTATCATCAAAGGAAAATATGTGAATAACACCTTAATCAACACAAGGAAGCTGAAATCCTTCCCTCAAAGAATCTGATAACAAATCCCCATAGGCAACAACTGGTCAAGGATAATTGAACTTTTCTAACCAAAGGGGGGGGGGCAACTACAAGTAGTTGTTTTCATCTATATGCATACATCAACTAAACATTCAACTCCTCCACTTGTTTGGAGAATAAGGTGCAATTGTCTGGGTTCATAAATTGCACTAAATCACATTATGAGGGTTTTTTTTGTTTTGTTTTTTGCTTCTGACTTAATGTGTGATTCTAATCCTTGGCTATAAGAGAAGAAAAAAGTTGACATTTTGGAGAAAACTAAACCATTACCACAGCAAGCCAAAAAGCCTTAGATAATCAGACCACTCACCATATAATAATGACTTTAGAATGTAATTTTTGAATAAATCACAAGTAGGTAGAATCCACAAACTAAGCCATAAACCTTGATTTACCAATGACAATATTTGAGTTCAGACAAGCCACATTTTAGCTTAACATTTTCAGTGACTTTCACTGAGAACTATGAAATGGGTGAAGATGACAAACCATCTTACATTCTTACTAACTTAAGTAAATCAGGTGGGTTAGAGAATGTTTCTTTTTCTTTCTTTTTTACTGTGAAATGTTTAGAAAATACCAGCCTGAGACTGGGACTCTTAATGGGCATGAGACTCTTAAATCTCAGGGTCATGGATAGCAGACCTCCAAGGTCCCTTCTATTGTTTTGTTAGGTTGTAGGTTATCACTATCACACCAGATGTATGCATCTTGCAAATGCACTTAAAATATTAGAATATATTCATATTTTCAGAAAGTTGGAGAAAGGAAACTTGCATTTCTATACAGAGTTAAGTACTCAAGGCACCTAATTTCAATGCTCTTGTCACTGCTGTATCAGAATGGACCACTGCAATGAACTTTATATGGGGCTGCCTTTGAAAATTGGTGCATAGTGAAACAGTTCACAGGCTGACAAGTAATAGCCACTACAAGCATATAACAGCAGTGTTATGGATGCTAAATTAATCTACATCTGGTAAACTAGAAGTGTGCTGCTTTTAACTTTTAAAGCCTTACAAGGCTTGACTTGAAAATACCTTCAGACTGCCTCTTCCAGATAGAACCAATACACTCAATCAGATGGGGATAATTAGGGATGCCTCAACTTACAGGGTGAGATGAAACAGTTGAGGGTTTAGAGCCAGCATTTTTCCATGGTGATCCTCACCTTACAGTAAAGCTTCCTTTCCAGAGTTTAGGAAGTATCTATTCTCAAATTGATATAATGATTCTTTCCTTCAGGAACGGCTTGGAGATGAATCTGTTCTGCAAGGCATTTAAAATCTAACAATATTAGCTACAATTGTGGGTCAGAAGCATGGTTTTTATCCTGACATATTAAATTGCTATTTTGATATTTTATTTTTGATTATACTGTACATTATTGTTTGGTTATACCACAGAGAGTTGATCTGAAATTTATGGAATAAATGTAATAAATAATGCATTTACTCAGGACCATCTAAGTTTCCTAAAGATCAGGCTACAAGTAACCTAATGTGTATTTAAACTAAAAAATAACTTTGTGGTCTAGAAAAACTTTCTGCAAAAAACAGGAACGACACCACTCCCCCTCAAAAAGAGTAAAGCATAGAACCAGACTTAACCTCAAGATATGTACCAAAAGCGAGTAATTCAAAGTTCCCTTATAATAGATATAGGGAGTGTACCTAGGAGAAGAATGTAGGAATTCATCAATAAAACAGGTCAACAAAAGCAACTTACTAAGAACTACTCAGAATTAGCTTCATATTTTTTTTACTATATTTGTTACCTGCATGGAATCAAAGCAAAGAAAATGTACCTTATTTTCATTTGTTTGTTTTACCATCCTCCACAAACTTATATATTGGAATGATATTGACAAATACAGTATTTGGGAAAGTGTCTTTGAAGAAAAGACTCCTGGAAGGTGGTAAGAGAACAAAGCAATTGCCTAATACTACCAAAAAGATGTGTCTGTTTGTGTAGACCCAAAAACATTTAATTATTTAAGATGCACATTTAAGATCAGAGAAGCTAAACTACTACAAAGCTTCCCTTTTCTATTTGCAAAATGACAATCATAGAATTAAGTGAAATTCTGTGGTGAATACAGAACCTTATAATACTGGCAAGGTGCTTAAATAAATAAGGTATTTAAAAGGAGTAGGTGACATCAAGTAAGGCAAGTATCTTCCTCCTACAGTAGCTCTCAATACCAATGTTGTGGCTTGAGAATTATTCTTGCCATCATCTGAAATTCTTACATCAAGTTTGTTTTCCATAAAGAGCCAAGAATATACATATAAAACATTTATGTTGTCAGCTCCATAAGAAATTTTCAAAGAGACATTGCTCTTAACACTAGCAGAATGACTCTTTTTGACATAGCCATATTCCCAGTTACAATTTTAAATCCATTACAGATAGTCCTCGACTTATGACCACAACTGAGCCCAAAATTTCTATTGTTAAGTGAGACATTTGTTAAGTGAGTTTTGCCCCATTTTATGACCTTTCTTGCCACAATTGTTAAGTGAATTACTGCAGTTGATAAGTTACTAATCTGGTTAAGTGAATGTGGCTACCCCATTGACTGTAAAAAGTGATCATATGATCCTGGGACATTGCAATGGTCATAAATAGGAACCAGTTGCCAAGCATCTGAACTTTGATCACATGATCGTGTGGATGATGAAAAACGGTCATAAGTCACTTTTTTTAGTGTAAATCCAGGACTACCTGCAGTCTGTATGTAGCAAAAGAACATTTATAATGGTAGGGTTTAGAGGGAAACATCTAATTCTAGTTGCAAATATTATTTACATCAAGAGCCAGAAAAATATATTTAACTTCAAAAATACACCCCAAAGAACACAGGAGTCTCAGAATTCATTCTAAGTAAGATGCATAAAAAAGATGTAATTTGCTATTTTACCCACCCTCATTCATTCTAATGCTTTTGTGACTAAATTAAATCTCATTAACGTAAGAGTTTTGAATCAAGTTAACTATGCAATTCCTGTTATTATGTTAGCTACCCCACCCCAGCTACTTTCTAATTAAAAAGTTCTTATGAGGTGTTCCTGAATCTGTGCAAAACACACCTGCATTTGGCTGGCAGACAGGGTACTTCTTTTTGACTTTGCTCTAAGGGTGCTCAGAAATAACAGATTTTGGAAACTCTGGAAATGGCAGTGTTTTGGGAGATAGAGAGATCTGTGATATACTGTAACTGTTAAAATCCAACTGTTCAAAAGTTTTTTCTTTTCATTGACAGGAACAAACACATTTTAAGTTTACCTCATTTTAGGAAACTGCATCAATCGTTAAGCTACATCAAAACAAGCCAGAGACACTAAAGATATCCAATTCCATCCAACACATTTTCTTGTTCAAGGTGAGAACCTTGAAAACATTGAACTTCAGAGACAAGTTTGCATTTAATCTTAACGTATGTGTGCATGGGGAGAGTCCAAGGCGATCCCTTTATTACCTCAATAAACAAAGTTTAAGAGGTGTGAGGAAAACTGATAGGTGCCCTGCTCTTTTGATTTGCCCAAAAACCCGAGAACTTCATACAGCATCCTTCGACAAAAAATTTACCAGTTTATGGACACGAGTATGAACTAACTTATAACTTTAGTTGAGGGGGAAAATAAGGCTCTAAAAAGGCGGGCGGGGAACCCGTAACACCCAGTTGAGGATTGAAGTACGGTAGTAGCAACGACTCGAAAGTGAGACTAATCGCCCCATTTCCTCACTCTCCCCGCCACCCCCTCTCGCCTTTCCTCTTTCTCTCCAGCCACGCGCAAAAAGGGAGAAGGGCCACGAGGCTGCCAGGCGTGTCGGGACCAGCCTCAAGCCACGCGGGACCGCGGTAGCAGCGGAAATGTGCCCGAAGAGGAAGGGACCACCGCTGAGCGGCAGACTTCGAGGCCGGGCGCTTTCTCCCCGGTGCCCAGGGTTGGGGGGTGGGGAGAGCAAGTGCCAGTCACCCTTCTTCGTGCCTCTCCTTCCTCATCCCTCCGCCCTCTTTCCCATGTGCCCGGCATGAAGCCTCCTCCCGCCGAGGAGAAAGGGGGGAAACAAGGGCCAAAAGGAAATGCCGCCGCTGGGAATGGGGAATGAGGGGGGGACGCGCGAAAGGAAAGCCTACTGCTGTTGCAGACGAAGCCCGAGGGGGGGGCCGGGAGGGAGGGGGAGGCAGGTCTGCCCTTGCCACCGGCTCCCGCCTCTTCTCCCACGCACAAAGCTCCCGGAGGAAGGTGGCAGGCCAGGGAAGGCACCGCGCGCTTCGCTGCGAGGCTGGCTTTTCTCCTCACCCACCCCCCAATTCTCGCCCGCCTTCCCCTCTCATCTTGCCGTCCCTTCCGCCGGCGCGGCACTGACCTTGGCTTCTCCATTGCACAGAGCCATAGAGCCGGCTGGAGACAAACACCAGACGGGGGGGACGAGAAGGACGAGCGAGCTCTCCGCGCCCCTCCGTCTGCGCCGAACCCAGCAGGGCGAGAGTCGAAGCTGCCCGCTGAAGAACCGCTAACGCCGCTGATGTTCTGTCTCCGCCGCCGAGATGAGCTAATCCCGCCGCCCGCCCCGCGAAGACGCGCCTCCCGCGAGGAGGAGCCGGGTCCCCGCGACCCGCCTTCTTCGGGGCCGACCGGGCGTGCGAGAGAGAGATCGAGAGCGAGAGAGCGGCAAGCGGCCGCGCGCCTAGCCCGCCTACTGACGACCGACCGAGGCGCCAGAGGAGGAGGAGGGAAATGAATACATAAAACGCTACTTCCTGGAAGTCTTTTTCAGCGGGAAAGGCAAAAGGAGAAGCGGATTAAACATTTTGTTTTGTTCTTTCAAGGAAGATCTTGGAAGGAGCAGTCGCGGGGTGAAGAAGCAACATCCAGCGCTCTCGTAACTCCCTATCCCGTTTCCGAAAGGGAATAAATAAAACGGGCCTGAAAAAAATAACGAGTACCCGTGGTTGGAACTGTCAAGAGACTGGGACTTGCAACAAGAAATCTTGCATCTTTCCCAGTGGCTGCAGTATTCTGCACTCAATTAAATAACGGGGTACTTTTTTTTGAGTAACCATGAGGAGAGATGAATGCCTGTGAAAAATATAATCCCCCATCTTCTCCCATCTCTTTTTGTCAGGATCAAATGTTTTACCTCTCCAATTAAATTATTTTGTTCTCTTAAGATAGAAGTTTCCCTTATAGTGGAATCTGGTCCTAGTATAGAAACTAATGCAAAAGAAACAGTTATGAGTTTAAACTTCTTTCTTCTCCTGATTTCCGGAGATAATCTCAAAAATTCTTATTAGAGTTTTTTCCTCTTCAGCCAAGCAGTAGGATAGGCCAAAGTGAGACTTAGCTACAGTACTCTTCAATGTCACTGAATCGATTTCAGGAAACTGATCAAATCCCTTCTGAAATTTGTAACTAAGCTATGGAACTTCACAGACCACGACTCTAGTGCTTGCTATTTTAAAAGCAGGAAACAAAACTGGTTTGTAAATTATTGAGCATACAGAAAACAGTATCTAATCATAACAGAAAATAGTATTTTAAAATGTCTACTTCAAAATTTCCATCCCACTCATGTAATGCTGTTACATACATTTATTTAATAAATTTTTTAAAAAATTATTTCCTACCCATCTCATTGCAAGGTTCACTTCACTGTGACCTGCTCTCAAATGCCATAAAATAAATAAAATAGGGACCCTTCCCCATTGCCGAACTCAAAGGCCTTTACCTATTCTTGAGTTGCCAGCATAATTTGTTGTCTTCCGTTATCTTTCCAGTTTTTCCAATCTTTGGACTTCCCTTCAGTGGAAGAGGATGTTATGGGCTTTATTTGCACATATTTATCTTGAAATAGATGTAAGTGAAGTGTTGTGGCATCACACATACCTACAAAAAGAGCAGCACTTGTGGTACAGCGGCATTACTCTGCTTTTACTGTCTGGATAAAAGTTTTGGATCCTGTAGATGTCTCTATATGAGTTTCAAGAACTAATCCTTAGTCAATCTGATAAACAGAACTTCAAATTATTTGAAATCAACATTGTTATGATCATAAATGGGAAACATATGAAAACTGGGATCTCACCCAATAAATTCAATATTCAGTATTCCAGGCAGCATTTCACCTCCTTGATTAAACAACATTGGTTTTATGTTATAAAAAATATATTACCTTAGATGCTATCCATTTAAATAAGAAAAAAGAAACCATGTTTTTGATACTAGTGTAAGGGCAACCTGGCCTTCTCTCTGATGATGTGCCTTAGGATCAACAGTTTGACTGTGGCTTTCAAAGGTAAAGTGGCAAAGATCTGATATGGCATAATGGATTGTACTACTTCAGAATCTTGGGGGGGGGAGTCAAGGGAGGACGCTGGTTGAAATGTTCTGTTCTGGGAAAGAAAAAACAACAAAAAGTAACTTCATAAGTCTAAAAGCAGTATTGTGTAGGAAGAAATGATTAATGAACTCCACAGAAATGCTACATTTTTATTAGTAAAGTTAAATATGGCACCAGGATTTGTTTCACACAGGCTGAAATGAGTTTAACTAGTTTATTGTATCAGTACAGTACATAACAGATAGTATAATTCCATGGCATCATTGTTTTTTGTTTTTTTTAGGTTGATGGATCCTCAGGTATTCTTACAGGAGTGCTAGCAAAGTTTCCTTTATACATCATGGAGAGTCACTAATAGCTCGTCTGATGACCCTGTGCCTCACATCAAATAGCCATGTTCATCAAAAGTAACATAGCTATTTATACATTACCCTTGACATCCACCTGCAGATTGAAGAGACAACTTCCCACTGTCCCAACATGGTCCCAGTTTGCCAGCCAAATATGGAAAGTGGTTTTTCAATTATTAGATGATCACTTTGGTAAGTAAACAGGACAATATGTCCTCCAGGAGGGAACAATCTGCACATGCAACAGGTAGGTATGTGGCAAAGTTAATCGTAGTCTGCAAATACAACCAAACTGTATTCACTTCTTTCACAATTCTCTATATGTTCAGTCTGAGAGTTGTCTTTTGTGGCAATTCATCTCCACTTTCAACTTCCCCATTTTGCTGAAGGAACAATAGATTTTATGTGTTTATCATTACTGGAGTACCTGAACCTGAGATCAAGATCTACCAAGTTTTCCAATAATTAATATACTTGTACTGGTGCAGTAGCATGTGCCTAAAGTCTATTCCTTCCTTTAGCTGAATGCAAAAAAAAAAGATAAAAGAAAAAAATATTGATATAAAGGATGAAGCCAGAATAAGCTTAAAAGTCAAGAATCAGACAATCAATGGAATACTACTCCCACTTTCTGTATGCATGTTTGTTAAAGTGATGATAGATTTATTATGATGTTCAGTTAAGTAAATCATAGTTCACTGTGGTGGTCTCCCATGGAGAATGAGACACGCACGCAGGTATCTCGGGATGGGAGCCCAGAGCTGACTCTAACACCCTATTTTATTGTTACTATCGTGTTTACATCACACAGCGTAATCAAAAGACGTATATAGGGGTGGTTACAATGTATCACATAACAGACACTCTCCAGATGCAAGGCTATGCAGGTGTTCTTATCAGACCCTGTCCAAATGGCTGATGAATGTATTCCGTATCTGGAGCAGTCCGTTTGTTATCTCAAGGACTTTGTGGGAGCATGTCTATGGGCATATTTGTGCAATTAATCCCACATCTCCTCGTTTTGTGTTTTTTTAATGTTACTCACTTCCAGTTCCAGAAGGGATCTTGATTCACTGATTAAGGCGTCCTTCCTAGTGGAGGGCGTAACATTTTTGCACATTTGCAGGAGGGAGGGAATACATTGAATGCAACAACATAGCAATACAATTAATATCAAAATGGTTACTATAATAGAAATCAAAGATCGTAGCCAGGATCCATCCGGTAGCCAGGACCAAAGGGCACCCCAGATATCCACGGTGCCTGATCCATCGCTGCGTAAGGGATTATTTTGGATCATAAATTCCATTTTCCTTGCTGTAGCAAAAATATTAGGTTGAAAATCATGTATATACATACAACAATGAGAATGAATTAAAGCACATACACCGCCTTTTGCTGCTAAAATAATATCTAAAGCATACTGATTTTGCAAAACTACTTCCCTTATTTCCCCTATTTCTTGATTAATCATTTTAATGCTGTTATTATGGATACCATGTCAAGGCAAGCCATGTAGGTACTGACGTTTGTCCATTGATTGCTTCGATAAGTGTTGTTTATCTTAGTAAGGTTGCTTTTGATGGATTTGCATTTCTTTGCTGAATTCCATATAATAACTTGTTGACAATTACTATAATTTCCCAAATAAGTGGCAGTACGGAATAGTCCTGTGCTATAAAAACAAAATCTGGCAGGTTCCATTATACGAGCCCCCACAGCATATGTCATATTCAATGTCTCTGTAGTTATGTTCCACAGCTGCTTCCATCCTGTTTCATTGAACGGGATGGCATGGAAAATGAAGCCACCACAACTGTCACCAGGAATTTGCATGCAAATCCAACAGTTCGTGATGTTAAGTGTAAGAGCAGTGCGCCTGGCATCCCATACAAAAGCATTAAAAGCCCATAGTCCCTGATCCTCATATGCCTGGCTGAGGTGGTGTACGTTGAGCCATATAAGGACGAACACAACGAGCTGGAGTCCAAATGATCTCGCCATGGTCGTCTATTGCAGCGTAGCCTTGACCCCAGGTAATGAGGGAGGCAGGCCCTTTCCAGGTGGGATCAGGCAAACGTCGATAGTATACCTGGGGGCATGAAGAATCTGCGGGAGAAGCAGAAAAATGCCTGCTTGCCGCAGTTGAGCCAGGGGTGCCAGAAACATTTAAAAAGTTTAAGGTAAAAGTACAAGATTAAGAGTGTTTTATATCCCAGGCAAGCAAACACTCCTTGTTCCCGGGCAACAGGTGTGGGGAGGATCGTTCCCTCCATTTCCGGAGGCAAGGGTCCGGAATAAAGGGTTTCAGCAACCGTGAATAGGTTAGAAAAAGTAACAGAAAGATCAGAAGCCAATTTTAAATCAATGCCAGAAAAATATTGCGAAGCAGAAGGAGGAGTAAAGTCTGAAAAGGATGCAGCCTTTGGAGAGGGGTTAGCTGCAGATCCCTCTGTTAGTTTCCCTGATTGGACTGAGATGAACGGCACTGATTGGCCCAATGAAAACCCTTTTTACATTTTGGGCACACAGTTTTGGGCTTGGCTCCGGGGATGGCAGCAGGTCGAGCCGCGCCGCCTCCTGGGGCTCTGCATTGCTTTTTAAAATGACCAGGTTTTCCACAATTGAAGCAAGTGCCTTGGGGTTGATTCCCCTTTTGGATTGCGGCTGCAAGAGTGTCCATTTGATAAGCACTGGTTCCCACAATGCGGCAGGCTTTAAGAAAGTCCGCTAGGGTGGCCATGGGACTGGAAACAAGTGGTTTAAGAATGGACTGGCAGTCCGCATTTGCATGTTCATAAGCCAATTTTATGAGGATTTCATTTGCTGCATCTCTGTTTGAAATTTGACGCTCAATGGCAACTTGCAAGCGATTCACAAAGTCGGCATAGGATTCAGTTGCAGTTTGGCGAATGGCAGAAAAAGATTGAATCGGGGTACCAGACTCATCAACACAAGCCATGGCAGAAAGAACACAAGTATT